CCGCCCGGCCGCGCCGCGGTCAAAATAAGAGTCCCCGGGCCTGAGGCGGGACCCGCCGCCGCCGGGGGAGGCCCTGCCCGGCCCGGCCACCACCTCGCCCCCCGGCCTGCTTCATCCCATCAGAGCAGCCTCTACCCCAGTTTAGCAGCAGCTAATTAATTAAGCCCCCGGAGAACCCCACTCTGCACTGGCAGCTCCGGCAGGACCAAGGCAGCATCCCCGCGGAGCCCCCACCGTGGCCCCTCCGGTGCCTGCCGCTGTGTGGGGACCCCGGGGGTCCCATGGCTCCCTGCCTCAGGCCGGGGAAGGAGCTGAGACAGCTGAGGATGGTGCTGGCAAGCGACGGGTGTCCTTCCCCCTTGGCAACCCCCCAGGATGGAGTGACCGTTCCCCGCACAAACTAAAACCACCAGCACCTCGAAACGGCGCGTCAGGAAAGCCTCGGCTCCAGCGAGGGCCAGCGTCGCCCTGGAACATCATCACCATCCTGCACTGGGGATGCTCAACTTGACGTGGGAGGACGGGAAGGAGGGAATCGCCCGCCTTCATCCCTGCTCCTACAAACCACCACGCGCCCAGGTCCCAGCACCCGCAGGGGCCCTCGCGCCTTTGGGACGGGGGCGAGAGGGAGGGTGGTAGGGCAGGACGGCCGATCAGGCCCCTGGGTCTGGTGGCACTTCTCCCCTTCCATTTGCTGGGGCTCCATCTTTCCCAGCTGGAGCCGGGGACGCTGCAGCCACTGGGACAAACCTCCCTGGGCCATCAGGAAGGGCAGAGGCTCCCGCAAGAAGCAGGAATAACCGGGAACCCGTAGAGCTCTCGCAGCCCACGGTCGCGTGCCATGGCTCTCATCCCGCCTCGAACCCTGCGGCTCCACCGGTGTAGCCTCACGTGCTACTTAACGCGAGAGGGGCGAGGACGAGCTCTGTTTTGCCATGAACTCCCCATTTTCCTGAAGCAGCTGCTGCGAGCCCCAGAGAGGAGCTGCGGAGCCCGGGGCAGGGGCTCAGCCCCAGGCAGCGTGGGGCCAGCGAACAGCTCCGCCATGGCGGCTCCCGCTCCGGCCCTCCAGCCGGGCTGACATCGCCCTCTCCCGCACCGTGCGGGGCGAGCAGGGACGGACCTCCACATCCTGGGATTCCTGCCGGCAGGAAGAGAACAACCCCACCGGCCCAGTGCTTCCTCCGGCTGGGAGTCCGAGTCCTTCCAGCTGGACCTTTCTCCATCGTGGGAGCAAGGGACAGTTTAGATCACCCCGCCTGTGTTTTCCCGCCCCAACGGTGCCCCCACTACGTTGGAGGAGACGTGGCTTTGCTTTAGCGTGTAAGAGCTAGAAATCGGCTTTTGAGCTTCAGCTGTAGACGCGGATGCCTCCTCTGAAAGCCAGGAGCCACTTCTCACCGGCTCTGCCAGGCCGTCCCAGCAGGTCTCGGCGCACAGACGGTGCTCATCACACATTTACCCCGAGCAAAAGCACACGTGATCTTAAAAAAGGAGATCTTTATTTACGTTTTTCAGTTCTCTACATTTGGTGGTTTAAAACCCAGGACAAAAATACTCCCCAGAAGCCGTGGTAAACATGTAAAACTGATAGTTTACATTTTAAAACCCAGTAATAAATTGCACAGAAGTCTTAGGTTGAACAGAGCCATCATAAATGTTGTTGTATAAAACCCCAAAATCTGTAAAGAGAACCACAGGAATAAAGAATTACAGCCACGAGTATTGGTACAAGAAAGGGCACAAGTTTTGAGGGCTTTACCCCACCAGCCTCTCTTGGGGAGGAAGGATGGGACATTCCTGTTGCAGATAGTTGGAAATATTTTAAAATACAGCATAAAAACCCAATGGACCCCAGAACACCCTTTATCTCCTCTCTTGTGCTGGCTCAACAGGAAAACTTCCTAGGAGAAAATACTTAACTTTTACAAAACTACTGGAAGTTCAGTGGAAAACTAAAAAAGAATCACCATCCAACAAAAAGAAGAGCCTTTGCATCCCCTGTCTCCTCTTTCCCCATCTCCTGCAGGCAGTGGGACAACAGGTGCCAAAGCAGAGTTTAGCAGGACACAACACGGAAAAAGCCAAAAATATGGAGGTGGCACATGTGGAGAGTGGGACAAGGACAAAGCCATGAAGGACAAAAAAGCAGCAGCAGGGAAAAAAAAAAACGGAAGATAATTTTGGTATTTTCCATTGATTGCTGAGTTTGGAAACAATTAGTTCACAAGCTTCACTCACGCTCCACCACTTCCCCTCCCCATTTTAAACAAAACCAAAACCAATTGCGTAAAAAATTTGAGCCAGGAATTTGAATGAATTCCTGTGCACTGAAGTTTTTTACCCAGAGCTGAGTTTGGAAAAAATGGGCTTTTTTCCTCTTTATTCCAGAGTTCAGAAAGAGGAGAGAGGGGTAACTCGGGGCCTACAGGAGCTCCCCAGGACTTAAAGAGGTTGAAGCCAGAGAGGCTGCTGCAGAGAAGAGACAGCAGCGAGTCAGAGGACAGAGGGATTGTCCACTTGCCCTCTCCAGAGGGGACCATACTCAGACCCAAACATTGGTTTTAGCCCCATCGTGCTCATCCAAAGTACTCGTATACCCTGAGGACCTTGCTGCCATAGCACCCTGAGGCTACAACTGTGGGTAGGTTTAAGAAGAGCTGGACTAACTTCTCCATCCTGCAGTCCTGGACCGTTTCAAAGGGGTCTGTGAATCATGAACAAGGCTCTTTGTGTCAGGCTTCAATTCCCTGCCGCAGCACTGGGGAACAGGCAAAGCTGGGCAGGAACGTTGAAAACCACAGTGCTTTGCCAGTTATTTCTGTCTGCTTGCACAACAGTGAGGTTGCTCAGAGACAAACTTAGGGTGATGTCCTGCTGCATCCTGTCTGGTGCTGCCTCACAGGTCTGAGCGAGGCCTCTCTCTGCAGGACCTGTGTGTGCCCAGCCCTAGCATCCAAAAGAACAAGGACTACCATGAGGTCTAGCTCCAGCTCGTTCCTGCTCCCTCCACAGCAGCCAGCGGAGATGGACACTCCTCACCAATGAAGAAGAGTGTGCCCGTTTGCTCCTTGCTTTGCAAAGGGGACACCACGTACAGCAAGAGGTGAAGGACCAGTCTCTAGCAAATACAATCTGGGAGAGCAAGCTCAGGTGCACAGGAGCACTTGCAGAGACACAGGGCAGAACACAGGAACTGTGTGAGATGCAGCTGGCCTCTCCTCTCCACAGCCTCCACCATTAACAGTGCATTCCCAGCTATAAAGTTTAAACGAGGAGGACAGACACTGGCTGGGGGTATAGAAGGGCATCCCAGGGGCTCTGGCCACAGTAACCAAACAGCATTCCAGTTTTCCAGCCAAGGAACATGAGCTGGACACGTCACCAGCAGCTCAGCTTCAGGGATGGAGAACAAGGAACCGGGAATCCAGTCCCAGCCCAGGCTGCCTCTCCCAGACCCCAGCTGGGTTAGGAGCCTGTAGCCCAACCCAGCACTTCCAGAAGGATTGATGGCTCGTAGGAATTTTTCCAGAGGTGTGGAAGGGATTTGGGTTGAGGGCTGAAAGAAGGGATAGGTACTGCCAACAGCAAGGAAGGCCACAGGAGCTACAGGCTGAGCCAGGCAAAGCAGGTTCAACTAACTGGGAGGAAGAGCATTGGGGAAGAGACATACTGTTACGAACAAACAAGCACCTGCCTTTGACCTGCTGCATATCAAGGATACTTTTCATGGCAGGCACAGACCACCAGACAAAGGAGAGAGTCTTGAATAATAAAAGCTGGACAGAAGCATAAGTTGAGCAGAGGGTGAAGAAGGATCCTCGTGTCTGAGACACAGATCACACCTAAGGCTACTCACAATGACAACATTTAGGCAACACCTACATGCTTCAGACATGGTATCACCAAACTGTGGGTGTGGGGAGGAGCCTTCTTCCATTTTAAGTAAGTTTATTCCAAATGGCTCTTTAGGAGAGGGCATGGGCTGGTGGTCTCCAGCCCTTCCAGCCAGACCTTGGCTGTTCCATCTCTGTTCTCCTGAAGGGAGATTCCACTCTCCCCTTCCTCCCCACCAGCCCACCTCTCCAGTCAGACAGCAGAGAGCACTGCCCAAGACCCATGGGCCACTTGGACAAACCATGGCTTTGGGACCCAGGGCCAGGGAAGCAGCAGTGCAGTGGCTGCTCTCTCCAGACCTGAGCCCACACGGTGCCAAACTCCCTCCAACCATCTGGAACTATGAGCCCAGCACCACAGTCAGGCTGCACCATGCTTGTTGCCCCCGAGCTGCCTTGGCAGAAGTCACCATCCTTCCTGGTGAGAGCAAAAAACTTGCTTCATTTTGTAAGAAGTCAGCAAAGTGCATTCCTGGATTTGGCATGAACAGGCACATGGATAAGCATCAGAAATGGATAAAAAAGCACAGCATTTCTCTTAGAATAATTTATTAAATACAGCATTAAAATTTGTATTTCTGAATTCAATCATTAAAAACAAAACTTCATCTCATATATATATATATTCAGGAACAATGACAATCATTCTATCAACATTGGTGCATGTTGTGCCAGCACTGCTCAGAATGGCACCTTCTCTACACTATAATTAAAGCAGTTCAACACTTAAAAAAAAATAAAATAAGATAAAAAGCATTTGCAAAGAAAGAGTGCAAAGCAGGGTATGTCCCTAGCTGCCTGCCAGGGGTGTGCAGAGGCAGGCTAAAATGAGGAGGCAGAGGCTGTAGTGCTCCTAACAAGTTTGTTAAATATTGCCTGCCCAGCATGAGGCAGCATGGAGACCAATTCTCAGAGGTGCCAAAGTTCTGCAGTCCACAGTTTCAGCTGTGGCTGGATGCCAGCGGCTCTTAAGTATCTGGTTTGTGGTTTCCTCAGCTTGGGCAGTCAATACTAAAAAAGCTAAACAAGTAGGGGGGAAAAGCGCAAAAGAAAAGTGTTGTTTTACATCCACCAGCTTCTTCCCCCGACCTGCCAGGTCCAGCGGAGGCTGCAAATGAGGTGTAGCACTTTGTGTTCCCATTCACTCATTTTCACATCCTGCTGTGGCTCGAGAGGCGGCTCAGGAGACAAGCGGTAAACCAGTACCAGCTCACAGAGATAACAGTCCCCAGGCCAAGCACCCTTGCACACTGGCTTGGCAGCATTGACTGCTCCTGCAGGAGACCCCAGGCTGAGCCTCGAGGGAGTGTCATCCCAGAAGGAAGGGCTTCCATGGACAAGGTCCTTGGGCAGACTCAGAGGTAGCATCGGACAGACTTTTGTAACTTGATTGTCATGTAATTCTGGCCTGCCGAAGGCAGTGGCAGCTGAGATGGAGAGAGCACCCTGCAGGGGTGGGAGATGGGACACGGGGGATCTGGTCCCCCCCACTTGCAGACTGACTAGCGCTGTTCATCCTGGGTGCTGCAGTCTAGCAGCAAGCAAGGATGGACTCTCTCCTACAGGGCTTTTCAGAGAAAAGTCACCCTTGCTGAAAAAGGCCAGAAGCTGGCTGGTGGGCACCCCATGGTAACACCAGGCTCTCCCTCCACAGCTCATCAGGGCCTCTTGGGTTATGAGCAAGTGCCCCAGCAAGCTCCTTGCTGCCAGAGCCTGCTCTCCTCTCACTGCATGCAGGCAGTGGTGCAGCCCACTGCAAGAGGACCGAAGGCTGCCGGTCACTCACCCCACAACACAAGTATAGCGAGGGCTTGTGCTTTTGGCTTTTTAAGAGTCCCTGACCTTCCAAACCTGCTTACTCCAAGAAACCTCCTGTTTCAGCTACCCTTAGGACCTATGAGAACAAGGAGGAAGGGCTGTCAAAACCATTTCTGGAGAGCACATGGCCCCTAAAAGAGAAGAAAATGTCCACACAGCCCAGCCTTCACCTACAGTGGAGACATGCCAAGTCAGGAGCATTTCAGATAAGGCATCGCAGGTGCTTTGATAGTAAAGCAGTTAGTGTTGACTACAGTACTTTAAACACAGGCTGCTGCAGAGGGCATCCCTGGGGCAAAACCGGTTCTCCAGCACTCGGTGCAGCAGAAGGAGACAGTTCAGTTTCTCAGACCTCTCCTACACACACATGCAAGCTGCTCTGGCTGCCCTTTTTGTTTTCTCCCCACACCTAGAAAGAGACTTAAAAAGCCCAGGCTGGGATGTGCCATTTACCCCACCAAGCAGCCAGAGAGATAAAAAGACGCCTTGTGCTGTACCAGACTTTGCAGTAGGCAGGTGAACCGTGGCGCCTGGGGGTGGGCAGCGCCAGCGGGACTCAAAGCAGGGGAGGCTAGTTGCCGTTGCTGATGCTGGAGTTGGCACTGCTGCAGCTCTGCTCATAGGATGGAGGCGCCTCTGCGGGGGAAAGAAAGAGCAAGAGCAGTTATGGTGGGTGTTTGGGAGGTTCCCTTCACCCCAGTCTATGTAACTTGGTGCAGAGTAAAGCAAACTGCCAACGTGTACGCATCATGCATGCAGGCACTCTCTCTCCAGGACCCTATAACCTGCCCCGCTGAAATATATGGGGTTCGTGTGTGCACACACAGAATTTGAGCCAGCCAGTCCCACCCCTGTCCTGATGCCTACAGGGGTTAAAATCAGCACCTCGAAGTCCTGTTCTGTTCTCCTTCTTTCACAAGCATTCTCATGTACTCCAATACCTCCAGATCACAGGTGACTTGTGCTCCATGTGTCCCAGCCAGGGCTGAAGCAACACATCAAGTGTCTCGTTACCCCAGTGCTAACAAACGGGTTTATTTGGGTAGGACCATGCTAACAGTCTGTCTGTGCTAAGGGACACCGCTGGTCTCTGCCACCTCAGCCGCCTGAGACAAGCATGGCCCCAGGAATCCAGCAGGCTGGGATTTCCCCAAGCTTTTCCACCCTGGACAGTCTCTCAGCTCCCACCCCCACAGCCTGTATCTTCAGACCAGCTGCAGGCCCACTCCAAGTCAGACAGAAGATTTCAGTTACATCATTTCCCTGGCTCTGCTCCCACCAGCCTCACTACAAGCCAAGAAGTTTTTCTATCAGTGGGAGGCTGAAAGCTCATTAAGAACAGGGAGATCCTCTCATGACGAGCCCAGGGCAGGCACGGGTGTAGACGTGGGAATGGACAGCCGGCTTTTACAGCTGTAAGAGGGGATTCCTCTGGAGGCTAAAGCAAGCAGAGAGATCTCATGATCCCCTCTGAAACAGCCCCTGGCAGGCTAACATCCCCATACTCCCACCCAATTCACAGCTAGTGAAGAGACTCTTGTGTTAGGAAACTACCACCACACTGCCAGCCCGTTTAGATCTCGGGAAGGGGCTGCTCACCGTATGGGTAGCCCCACGTGCTGTACTCCGGAGGCAAAATGAGAGAGCTGGCCGTGGGGACGGGCACCACGTTCCCCTCAGCATAGTAAGGGACAGTGGCTCCTGTCGACAGGCAGAGCGTTGGATGGTTTGGGGAGCCTGTCTGCTCCGAGTCCACCCTTATCTCCTGGAAGCTCAGTCCTGGGGCATAGCTAAATGGCTGCTGCTGGGAATGGCTTTTGGTGGGGATCGAGACATTGTCCATCGGATGATAACCACTGGCAGCCTCCTCTTCCTCCGGGGGGGCACTGGGTACCACTGCAGACGGTATGTGCTGGATGGACTGGGAGGGGCTCAGAGGCACCCTGTTCACAGCAATGTTACCAATATAAATGGGGAGAGTAACTGAAACCTCTGGCGACTTGAGGGAAACCTGGAAGAGAAGGAAAAATAGTGGCATCCTCTTCATTATACATTGCACTGGGAAGGTTCACCTGATGCGAGGGCCACCCGCACCACACAGCTACAGAGTTTGGCAATTGAGCTCCCAGAAGGGAGCATAGAATTTGCAGCACAGCCCACTGCTGCTCCCCAAGAGCATCAAGGTACTCACCTGGATGTAGTAGTCAATATGTATGAGGCTACAGCCCTGCAGAATAGACTGGGGCAGTGCCGGAACGAGGATCTGCTCCTTCCATTCTGCATGTTTCCAGGCTTTCACTCCTGAGCCTTCCACCTCCGCAATGGTCCTCAGGTCATAAATCCAGCGCTTGGATTTATAAGCCACTTTCTGTACAGACAGAGGAAAATACAGCTAGCAGAAAGATTGCAGGTGGTCTTCTGTCTCCCACAAACATAAGTCAGGACACAAAACCATCCAACTGCTTTGTCAAAGAAGCACAAGCACAAACCTAACGTGCATATTACAGAGCAGAAATACCCACTATGATATGATAGACTGAGTTGGTATAAGCAAAACAAGTTCTACTACCTCTTTCCCCAGGAAGGTAGAGAGAAACAGCATTAGCCAGAGGTCTGGACTCTTTGCTACCATCTCCCAGCCACACACAGCGAGATACACAATGGTGAGAACTGCCCCAGTTTCACAGAGGCCTCAGGGGGATCGAGTACCAATACAAGCCGAAGAATCACCCTTTTGGATGCTTACCTGGAGCAGACTGGCTACGACAGCCCCAGTGTCCCGGCCCGATTTGTTCTCTATGTCCGTGCGGAGCTGGATTGCTTGCCCCACGATGTAACCTTTCAGATCCGAGGTGGCAGTCAAGATAATGTTGCCACTTTTCACAAGCTTGTAGTTGAACTTCTTGGTGATTGACATAGTGTTGGGCTGCTGCAGGACAGCGGAGAGACAGAGAGGTTCGCTCAAGAGAGTCAGAGAGCCTCCAGAAAAACACTCAAGAGATTCAAAACAAGCAAGTAGAAATATCTGGTCTAAGAGGATGCAAAGAACCAGCAACACAGCACTACCCAGACAACAGGTCTCACTTCTCTATCCCCCCAGTTTTGCTGTCCTATTAGTTGCTCTTCCCTCCAAAGCAAGTTCCCCAAATCCAGGTCTCTACAAGCACCTGGTGGTATTGGCCAACACCTCTCTCTACATGCTGAAAATTCACCTACGTCTTTCAAAGCAACATGCAGAAGAGTCAAAAATCACTTGGAACAGCGACTGATGGCAAGGCAGGACAGATCAGGAGTCCTTGTCCTGCTCTTGCACAGTCAGGGCATGCAGTCAGAGAGTTGTCCAACCACACAATTATTCCCCAGACAGCATGCAGGACAAGGACAAGTGCTGAAGCCTTGGCACTTCCCAGCCACACTGCTCCTTGCTCTTACCTCAATGTCAGGGATGTCGTTCAAGTTGAGAGGGCAGAGAATGTAGAAGATCTTGTTGCACTTGTAGTCCTTGGAGAAGCGAGGTGTGTCTATCACAGCTTTCACCTGATGGAGGACCTTGCCAAAAGGGCCTTCAAACGATGTAGGAGCAGAGGCTGGAAGAGAAAGAAAATGATCATAAGGCTGAGTCAGGCCAAGTGTTTCTGAACTGGAAGTATAATCCCTTTAAACAGCTTTCCTCTTTACCTGAGGAGTTCTGCAAGCACCTGAGAGATAGAACACATGGGGATTCCCCCAAAAAAGACCTGGGGCTGAACACTTAGGTCACTTGAGACCTTGCTGCCAGCTCCTTACAGAAGGGATCCTCTGCAGCCACAGGTGCAAGAGCAGAGATCTTCTCTCTGAGCACACTGTGTGCAGGACAACTGCCTAGTCACAGGCCAGGACCCTTGCGCATGCCCAGAGAGCTCACAGGATCATGCCTGGAGAGGCATCAGCAACATTTCAGACCTGGCTTTGCACCAACGCAGAAAGTACCTGCTTGTCTAAGCTCCTCTGCTGTCTGTGGCTGACCTTACACTCCCTAGAGCGTCTCCGGGCCAAGATGCCAGCCTGCCTCTGCCATCCAGCCCAAGCCCTGCTCAGCACAGGTTGACAGGCTGCAAAAGCCAAGGTTTACATGGAAGTGCCTTTAGCCATTTATCTGCATCATACCTGGCAGCAGGAACTGGAAGGGGAAGTTGTGCTCTCCAGCTGTCAGGACCCCTGCAGGAAACAAGAGTAAAAGGTAAGTGGGACAGGCCATTGCCTTGGAATGGTGTGATCTTCTAGGGAGCATGATCTTCTGGAGATGGAGGCTACCACCTGGGGAACATCACACAACTTGTTCAGCTGCCTACAGCCAGCCCACTGGACAACTCCAGATCCAATGAGCAGTGCTTGAGTCAACAGGAACATCTGCTGCCACCCACCTCTTCTTGAGCCAGGCAATGTCTCCATTCCCCATGACTGGTTCTATGTTAAGATACCCTGGAAATAAGGCAGTTTGGGGCAGGGTTTAAGGGATCCCAGTGCCATAGCAAGTGGTTAGCCCCAGACTACTGACACAGGGCATGGAGAAGGGATGCTGTGTGTTTATCTTTCCTCAAGTAGGCTACAGCCAGTCAGGGAAGGCAAGAAAGCACAGGCACTGTCTGAGGATGGTAAGGTCTAGTGGGCATCAAGCCACTATAGCCTTAGCCACACACCAAGCTCCACGCAGACTGCACAGTGTTCAGGAGCTAGAACCAGAGGTCCATCTCCCAGGCCTAAATCTACCCCCTGGTGCCAAGAAGGGACCTGCAATACCTCAGCCTAGCTGCTTAGACAACAGGAGCTGAGGAAAAGATTTCCACAACGTTAAAACCTCAACACTGGTTTTCTTCAGCCATATCCCGCTCTGCATCAGTGGCCTTGAGGGCACAGACCAGAGCCAAGACTGAACACACAGCTAAAACAACAGCTACAGAGACTCCCCAACCCTATCCACCCTCCGGCACTCCCACCCAGATTCCGGATTCCCTCCCAGGGCAGCACGACGGCTGAACTGGACCCGCAGTGTGATCCAGTAAAACAGGCAGCTCCCAAAGTTGCCTTCAGTAAGAAAAGCAGTAAAGTTAATCCACATTTGTTAAATACGTGTAAACATGAGAGGTTTTGTTTTTAAAGTGGCAGTGCTAAGAGGAGACCTGTATACCTATTAAATCAAGCTGTGTTTATTCTGCTTTGTAGGATCATTGCTGAAGTTACGAAGACTCTAGATTTGGCTAGTTCTTTTGTTGATGCAAGACGGAGAAGACAGCTTGCCCGTTAGCAATATTGGCTCCGCAGAGCTGACAGTAATAGAGTCCTATTGTCAGAGGATTAAGTGGATTACGTGACAGGGGGAGGTGGGGAAGAGAGAAGGGTAAATCCCCCCCACTAACACTGTGATCCAGTTAGGAGGCAGGGGAGGTTGGCGTTTGACTCGGTGCACCCTTCACGTTATGGAAAACTGCACCTCTGCCCCTCCGCTCGCTCAGCCACCCCACAGGGACCTAAGGACACCCCAGTTAGCGTGCATCCCGCCTGCAGTGCAAAGGCAGGCAGAATAAATATGACAAACATCCCATAACATATCACTACAAAGGCAAGCCAGGGGAAAACTAAGAGGTGTCTATTTATACACTTTGTCCTTAAAAAGAGTAGCAAGATTTGCTCATTCCCATCACCCCACCCAGAACACCTCCCCGGTGATTTCCCTCCCCGTCCCCCAAATAAAACCGAAATATGTAGGCTAAAATGCAACACCCGGTCTTGTCACCAGGTGGAGGCACAAAGCCAGTCACTGCCTTCGCTGCCAGGCCTGATGCCTTGCAGAGCTGGGACAGAAACAGGTACATGTCGGGCAGCTTCTCCTATTCCCTTCTTGGGAAGCCTCACTCGGTTAGTGGCAGTAGCTTGAGATGTAGCAGGTGCCTTTGCTTGTTGGTTACAGGGTAAAGCCTGGTTAATATGAACGACTCAACTAACCCAGTGCTTGTTTGCTGCTCTAAGGTTTTCTGCCTTTTATTGGGCACCATTCAATGTTGATCTTATACCCATTATCCTTACTTTTGGAAAGCAAATTGATGAACTGTAATACATCAACTCTCCCATGCGGCTTCTGCATTGCAGTAAGGGGACTTGCTCCATCTGAAAGGGAGAGGGAGCAAATCCTGTTACTGCAATGCAGAAGGAAGGGAGATGGGAGTCCCAGAGGGTAGTGGCCACTGAGTTTGCACCAAGACCTGGAGACTTTCCAGCTGTCTGACCTGCAGAGCCCCAGATGAACAGGCAGGCAGTGATTTCAAGTCTCCCACTAGAAGCATGAAACTTCACAACCTTTCCAGGACTCTCAGGAAGAGCTCACAGACTCCACAAAGTGCAAGTCTCTCCTCTGCATTACAGGCAGCATGATCCAATAAGTCATTTCGGTCAAGCTCCTGCCCAGTTCACGTGCACCAACAGGAAGCCAGGCTGGAAGTGAACCTGTGAGCACTTCATGTTCATAGTTTCTACCCCCTGCAGAAAACCAGGGGTCCTGAAGGTTGGTCCCAACAGCAGCACCAAGCAAGGCAATACACTCTCCCAGCAATGCACATGGCCAGCATCACTCGCAGAGGATGTCATTCGGCTGTCAGAGCCATGGCATGACTTGGTGGCACTGATGCAGTTTCCACATGGGCAGTCCCGCCTCCCAGTAAGTCACCAGATGAGAACTGCCCACAGGTCGGCGTACACCACCCTGATAGCTCAGACCAAGCCCAAGCGCCCAGAGACCTGACCTATGTTGGCTCACAGCGTACTCAGACTTGCTGTGACCCCACCTGGGGCAGGGAGCAGCCTGCAAATCCCTCCTGCAGCTCCTGCCTGCAACAAGCTGCCCACGAGGGCTGGAAAGGGCCGTTCCTGCCCTTCACAGTGATGACTTCCAAGACCAGCTACCTCAGACTGAAGTCGTGCCCCGTTGCAGCTCACACGGGCCAAGGGCATCGCGGCAGTGCTTGGCTCACAGCCAGGAGAGCCCAGACCTCAGCCCTGCACCGAGCAGGAAGCCAGGGAAATGCAGCGAGCTCTATTCTCCACTCCGTTAAGCAGAGAGATGCTGCAGGCAATTAGCAGTGGCTCTTGTCTTCAGACTTGCTCCTTCCAGCCCACACTGTCCTTCCCCCAAAGGGAGAGAAGCATCTTTAAGCCAGCCCTGAGATCCGCCATGTACAGGGAATTTTCCAGCAGGCTGGACCAAGCACCCAGGTCCTACCCACAGGTGCAGATGCCACCGCACGCAGCTTCATTTGCTAGCACAGCTAATGAACAGCTGGCTGCTCACAGAGCCCCATCTTCCAGCTGAACACCTGCATTTCTTGCCCTTACTGCAAACACAGAAGCTGTTTGGGCAGGTTGCTGGTGGAGGGGCTATGACAGGCAGCAGCACCCTCAGCCCTGCATCTGGCTGGGGACCCCCAATCCCGGCTGCACGCACCCTCGGCAGCCCGGAGTGGGCATTTCACGAAGCCCGCTGGCACGGAAAGCAGAAGTGGTGTTGGAGTTCAGTGCCAGAACTATTTCAGAGACATGGGTAAATAAAAATAAGATGAAGAAAAACAGATGATCCTGACAAAGACGGAAGACTCCTGTGAAAGCATGAGCACGATCCAGAGCGCCTGGCAGAGCAACGAGGCAGCAGAGACCACAGGCAAGCTCAGGTCCTGCCTGCCCCCTGCTGCAGGCAGGAGGAGAGGCAGATATTTAGCAGTAACCACACACTGAGTTGCTCCCCAGGCTCCTGCTTGCCTCTCCTGGTAGAAGCTCCTCTGGCACGAACACAGTGGAGGCTCCATGTCCAGCTTGCCTGGGATTACAAAGCCATTTTGGTCTTTTGCCACGTGTCTGGTGCCTTTGGCAGGTGGAAAGTTGGCAAGTCCTGAGCAAAGCCCCCCTTACAGTGGGAAGGGAGGTGGCAACTACTTTTAAATTCTCCAGCTGGCAACTCTGCTCCTAAAGGCTGAGCTTCCATTTCCAAATGCTGACAAGTTTTGCTATAAAGGGGAAAATCTGCAACTTCCCTTGTCCCAGCCACCCCATGAGCAGGGGCAGGGCACAGTCTCATCTTGCGCCAACACCCAGGTACCTCTCACATAGAAAAGAGCAGCAAAAGCCACCTCAGCTCCCTCCGAGAGACACTTTCAGTGCTCACCCATCCCACACAGCCACCACGATGGCAGGACAGGGCAACATGTGCCCCGCTAGCCACACACATGCCTTGGATAGATCCCCAGATCACTGCAGGGAAGATGCAGCATCGTACACAGCATGCAGAGCTGTTCCACCTGCCCAGCTGCATCTGCTGTGCAACTCCAGCATCCAAGCAGCAAAGGGGACACAAAGCTCATGGGAAGCCACTCATTGCCCCTGTCCCACCAACCCTGAGAGCTTCAAGTAAAGATCCAAGACATTTAGTGCACTAATTGCACTTGCAAGTTGACTGCAACAGAGACAGTCGTTGGCAGCAGGCAGAGGCAAGATGGTTTCCTCTGACAGCCACCCCAACGTGCAGAAACCCAGGAGGAGCAGCCCTTTCTGAAAGCTCCTTTCCGAGCTGCTCCTGAACCAGAAGCTTTGCCAAAGCAAGCTGCAGACTGTGCACAGGCAAGAGTAGGTCAGCAGGATTTCAGCATTGCTCAAGGGGTCTCCGACAACCCCACGCAGCAGGCTGCAATGCTCCTGAGCAGCTTGCAAACACACTGCAAGGGGAAAGGGCTATGCAAGCCACTGCAGCTGCACCAAGCCATTACCTCCCCATTCCCAGCAGTCTGAACAAAGGCCACAGTGTACTCGGCCACAAAAAAGCTTTTCCTGAAGTTTACACGCAGCTAAAAATACCTTGAGAAAGTCATTAGGCAGCAGAGGCAGCTGGATTAGCAGGGTTCTGCTGTGGGGCCATACCTGCAGCAGCCTTTCCTCCTAGTGGGAGCTGAGCCAGCAGAGATCAGCTGCCCCCGCACAGCCTTTGGAAACATCCTCCCTAAAAATTCCTGGAGGGAAAGGAGCTGCTGCCCCAGACAGCCTGGAAAAAAAACAAACCCAGACAGCAGGAGCAGCAACAACATGCGAACAGTGCAGAATAGCCATCTTACAGTGCAAAGCAGAGAGTGACCTTGGAGATTTCCCTGAATCCAGTTGAAATTTGTCTGGAAGCAAATGGA